GTTTTCTTGAGTTTTGTAAAGCACTTGTTCTATATTTTAAGATTATTACAAAACCTAAGATAAGTCAATGAGTGATACTACAGCAACATCGGATAAACACAAATCGTATCAATACTCACGGCATATCGTGCGTTTCTTGTTTATGTAAGAGACAGTCACATCAACAGGAAACAAAACCAACAAAGGAGAACACCATAGTAACTACTAACATAGTTGAAGATAGAAGGGGTTTGAAATTTGGAGGTAGGAATGTATCGCCCGATGAAAACAGCATATTTAAATCAAACGGACAATTAGGCAGTGTTGAAACATGTGATGCGGGTTGGGGTCAAACACAAATTACTCCGGAAAAACTGGCGCAACGAAGAGAAGGCACTGAAACGGACATAGAAGCTATTAAAAAAGACATACAGCGTTTAGAGTCAAAGCTTAATGAACTAAAGTTTAACATTATGAAGCTATATTAAGTGCTATATTAGATGAGCTGGACGACAATTATCATTATGAACAATACAAGAATCGATTTAAGTTGTTGTTTGAGCTTTACCAGTTAGAAGAACTATTGAAACAATTATCTAAATTAGTTTTTATAGCATTTTTTGACAGCTGTAGAGTCTTTCGCACCCGCCCAGACCATGTAGCAGGACAGCTTCAAAGCCCCGCGAAGAATGAAAAAGAAGGAACGCATGAAATGGGAGTTATGCGACACCTCCAGTATCCTATCATAAGCATAGGGTTAATTAGTGAAGTAATGTTCTTCGGAGTGCTTCAAGGTATGGGGTTGTGTTGGGAGTCTTGGGTTGGAGGGGTGAGGGTTTCATGGATGATTTCAAAGATGGTTTCTTAGGTTGGGTCTTGGGTTGGGAAGTTGAAGGTTTCCTTCATGCTTTTTCAAGATGGTTTCTTAGGTTGGGTGTAGGGGGGTGGCATGGTTAGAAAATGAAAATGGCCCCTGCTAACTGTGTGTATATATATATAGATATATTTATTGTATTATATATCTATTATATTATATCATGTTATGTTTGATTATATTCGATTATCTTTGATTATACTACATTATATTGCCTTTATATGACATTACATTACATTACATTACATTACATTCATTATATATTTTATCACTTTAATATATTATACTAGAATATAGTATAATGAAATATCATAATATAATAAAACTATTATTAGTATATTATTTACACATGTACATGCACATATAATGTACATACAGAGATGTACATGCAGACAGATGCATATGACAAGATCATTGCCAAACACCCATAGATGTTTGTAAGAAGCAAGTAGATGAGCATTGACACTTCAGCGACCGCGCCTTCCTCGGAAGTTTAAACATCGAATTCTGCCCTGGAGGGACAAGTGGTTCCGGGCTTCCTGGTGCAGTCTCTGGCCCTGCGAATCAAGACAAGATTGGCAAGCAACTTTGTCTGAATGAGGCTAGTGTCTGACATTTTTGCAGTTTCAAGCCTGCTAAGGATGCTCAAGGAGTTGATGAAGTTTGAGAAGCGGCCAGGCAGCAACATGAGCAAAGGTTCAACTGTGTAAGCTTTCAGAGCCTCGGCCTTCACACTTCTACTCTGCGCTTGTTGGGCAGGTTGGGGCCATACATTGCTGCGGTGCCTGCCGATGTGGCGATACTAGCACCAAGCAGAAGGCCGGGTAACCAACTTCAGAGCAGGTAGCTGTGCTTTTGCGAGGGAGACTTGCTAGGTTTGTCGTGCGAACCGAAGCTTCATCATCGTCATTCTGCTGCGGCTGTTGCAACTGCGGACGCTGCCACTACCACTGCCACTGCCGTTGCCTCTGCCACTGCTACTGCTAGCTGTTAGCTGTCGCTACTTCGACCAGCCCCCACAACCGAAAAAGCGATGCCGACGAAGGTTCCCAGCCAGGGTTGCCATGCGGTGATATGCAGAGTAACGCACCTCTCCTTCTGAGGCCAGCTCCTCGCACAGCCCGACTTTCCTATTTGCACTTCCTCTAGCTGGACCAGATTGGATTCTCCGTCAGATCGAGCAAAGCTCTCTGTCAGGACGATAATTCAAGCACCTCGTAGGACTTGGAGGCTGAGCTAGGCAGCTACGCATTGCAGGCCGGCTGTAGTCGACTGCTTCCAAAAACAGCACCGCAGAATCGAAAAAGGTGCCTGGACTTGTGGCGTGTGTGACAAAGCTATTCGAGCAATGGAGAGACTGTAGCAGGTGCCAAGGGTCTTGGATCAGCTTCCGCGCAGAAGCTGTGGAAGAACAAGACCGACGACTCGGAGTCAGATTCTCGTGCAATTCGGGCCATGATGTCGGCACTGCTTACACTCGCTGTGCCTAGGCCGCGTCCACTTCAGATCGAGTACAACAGTGGCTTGTCAGAAGAAGACAACGAGATATTCGAGGACTCCGTAGAGTTCTGACGTTAGCTCAAGATAGGTGTGCAGACATGTGCTGTGCCGTCGGCTGGAGCCTATTGGATCGGCAGGATCTTGGCCTACCGGGACATCAGAAGGCCGTTAAGCTTGATTGACACCCACAGCCTGCACAGGGACTGACTAAACTGAGCCGGGATTTCAAGTGGCTTGAGCAGGCGAAAGACTATCCGCAGATAGAGTGATCGAACCCTGCTTGTCAAGCTTACACCAGCCTAGGACTGCTGTTGGCGTGTGAGTCTGCTAGGCTAGAGCTGCATTCCGCGAGTCTTCTAAGCGACATGTTCTCCGAAAGTGTCTTGTGGGAATAGTCTTTGGATCCTCACCTTCCTAGCTACTCACTACTCCATAGGCATTCAAGATAGGAGCAAAGGCCAACTACAAGGTGCCACATGTTGCTCGAGACTTCTGACAGGTCGCGGAAACAGTTTTCGAAGACCCGGAAGAGGCACGGCTTTCAGTCTGCCGTTAGCTTGTCACGGTTCCGAGTGCCTTTTGTGCTAGGCCGGCATTCGACCCCGGCTCCTGGTTCCTTTGCAGTCCGTGCTCGGTCTAAAGGCTTTGTGTGACTTGGACTTGAAGTTGGAGCATTTCGCCAACTCAACTCCGTGAGCTTCACATCAGCTTTAGGTGAGCGGGAGTACATCCGCACGGAGACGGTGACCGAGATGCTGAATCAGTGCCGCACCGCTTACTACAAGGACCCTGGAGACTCTGACCTGCGAAAAAAAAGCGATTCTATCGAAGAGGAGCTGCTCTATCTCCGAGAGCAACTCATCCTGGCAGCAGAACCGGAGAAACAAATGCTGCATCTCGAAAGCAGTTTGTAAGAATCCCTAACCCCAAAATGGAGCACCGACGGGCTCCCTAAAACACCTTGTAAGGCTGGCGTCTGTTCAGAACTACGAGGCAGAGCCCAGAGAGCCGAGAGTTACCGCACGGTGTGGGCCCTGGGGGGCCTTCGTGCAGGTTTACTACTTCAACCCTCCAGCCTACGTCGTCATCATCTGAGATCTTCGGTCTGTCGCGAGCATCCCGTGCAATCCGGGGTCTTAGGACGAAGACCTGAAAGAATACATTATGAACTGCAGCAGCCCCTTGGAAAGCCTTGAGTTAGAGCTAGCTAAACCTTTGCGTGGACCTGCGCTCTCCTGCGAGAGTGTGAGCCGATGAGGATGGACCCACAAGAAGCTGATAGAAGAGAACTACGAGCTCCAGATGAAGCTTGCAGGCGCCATAGGCAGCCTGTCCGAAGCAGACAAGCCTTGAACGGGCTGGTCAGGACAAGAGGACGTCTTTGAGAATGTGGACTTTTGCCTGAAAGGGCTCCTTCGGAGACACGGGCGGGCGACTGAGAGACAGGATGCCGGAGACAGGCCATTCCTGCAGCGACGAGAGAGTGACCTCGAGGACATACAAAGTCTTCAAGACCATGCACAACATCGTAAAGAATGCCAAGGCCGGATTTGGCCAGCCTGCAGTCTGACTCCCTTGAGGCAGTAAACGGCTGCAGGACCTCTTCAATCCTGAGGACATGATCCGCAAGAAAGAGATGGAGGAGGGGTTGCGGCCGGTTTCCTTCGGTGAGAGACGATGCGCTTTCTCAGGGCCTGAAGCCCATCGACGAATTGCAGGCATCGCCTTGTCGAGCCTCGAGCCATTCCCTGCATGTAAACTCCCCCCTGTTTGTGACGAGGCAGCTGTCGTCGAGCTCTTCCCGAACCTCAAAGCCAAAGAAGACAATTCGGTGTTCGCCTCAGACGTGCCAGTGTCGGCTGTCGGTCACTGTTTTTGCATGAGGGTCTCCTCCTGGCAGAGATCGAGGCGACTTTTGCCACGGCAACTGAGAAAACACTGCCTAGCCGCGCTTGCAAGGAGCTCCAGCAGTCCGTGACCCAGTTGAGAGCAGAATTGGCCAAGACGAAGGCAAGAGCCTCAGCTCTTCACAGTGAGTGCGCCTGAGTTGTTCCCTCTTGCGTGGCCTGGAGGATCTCCTGGAGAAGGAAAGAAATCGCGGCTGGCTCAGCTTCTTAAGCCAGGTCATGTCAGGCATGACCGGCTATGCACTTGCAGGCCGAACCTCTTTCAGGAAGTAATACTGGTAACTAGTAACCCTAACAAAGGCAAACACATGCACACACAGAGACACACAGATAGAGAGACACAGACAAACACGTAAAATGTCAATGGTGCGACGGCCGCTCGCTCACAACCCCCTCAAACTTAAGATTTGGGAGAGGCAACCGCTTACAGACAACAGCCATGTTTACCGACGACGAATTGCACAGTGTGACTGGTTCGGGCAAGATTTACTGTTTCAACTGTTGTCGAGATGAATCACAGAAGGCCCATTGCGACATTAAAGAGTCTAGCCGAGCCTGGAGACTGCTGCGGGGAATGGCAGCAGGTGCCAACGAGCTGAATCGGAAGTGCGATGAGCAGAAGCAGCTCCTCGAAAAGCCGCGTGCGGATGAGGCAAACTTCCAAGAAGATCTTGGGAGCTTCGGAGCGGTCTTCCTCAGTGGCAGGTGGAAGTCGTGAAGACTGTGGACAACGAAGCAACCTTGGAGGAGCTGAAGCAGCTCAAGGACGAGTTGTCCTTGGGACCTCTTTTGAACCGTCCCTTGAGCGCTCGTCTCTCAGGAGCTCAGGCAGGAAATGGAACAGGAGGCCGAGGCGCAGGCCTGTGGCAATTGCAAGCGGAGCTGGTCATTGCGATTTCCACCCTTTTCTGCGCCAGGCAAGACGGCTGCGAAAGCAGCTGGACGAGTTCGCCGCCGCCAAATCCTTACCCTCAGGACGGAGACTCGAAGCCTTAGCTCCGATGCGGCGTCATGCGGCGTCAGAGTGTCAGGAGGCTCGAAGGCGGATCCCAAGAAGCATCTGCAGAAACTGGACGAGGCCGCTGCTTCGAGGGTGGCAGGCAGCGCAGCAGTGAAGCCGCAGTCTCAAGGCAATCTCCGACGCTGAGCGGCTCTTTCAAGCAGCTGCCGGGAGCCCACGTGTCCCTGAAAGCTCTCCGTGTGTCTAAGTCTTGTGCTGCAATGCTCCAGGCGAGCTTGTCGGCGCAGCAGGTGGTGACGAAAGTCCAGGCATCTGCCAACGACTTAAGTACGACTCCAACCAGCACATGTTGCCATGCCAGGGCGCTGCCAAACAAGTGGTGGACAAAAGTGGAGAAGAAAAGGCTTTGAAGGCCCGAAAACGTGACGCCCTACAAGAAAAGGTTGCGCAAGCGTTTCATCGAGCCTACCAGGAGCTGCAGCAGCTCAGACAAGAGTGTTTGACTCGGAGGGTATGTGCTGTGCATTTCATGCTAGAGACTATGCTTACTATGCGCATCTACAAGCAGGGTATATAAGCCCGGTACCATGCAAGAACTTAAGCAGCGCTTTTGCCCAGGCTGGAGGCTTTGAAAGCCAAGCTCGCGGCTGCCGAGAAGACACTTAGTCTGCAATGGAAGGAAAGGTCCCCTAGCTGGGCTTCCGAGACGTTTGCAGAGGAGCGGTGTTGCCTTCGGGGCCAGAAGTGTGCACTCCCAAAACCCTCAAGCCCTCTGGATCATGAAGTTGGCTGAGGCGGGAGCGCGAAGCCTTGCAGAAGCTCAAGGACAGCAGCAACGGCCCGCTGACCCAGGCGTGATTTCGCATCATACTCTTTCTTCAGGAGCTGCAGACCAGGCCCGACAAGGCCTTGGCCTTAGAGCTCCGTCCTACGGAATGTTGCGAGACTTTGCGAGCTTGCACAGGTTGAGAAGTCGGACTCAGCGGGACTACCGATCGTTGAGCTGTGCCTCCACTGTGTGAGTTCTTCACTGGTTGTCCCTTCCAGGACCCGTTCCCGACGATTACGAAGAAATCAAGACGCGCCTGGAGCGGAAAATCGCCAGGCGTGGGAAACATGCTCGCTCGGGCCGGCATGCTCGCATGCAGGATATCTCTCGGCCAAATTACCATGAACTGCTGCCAATATGTAAGGTATCGCATGAAACACAGCAGAATCATCTCCCAACCATTGAGCCAAGCCGAAGCGGGCCCAGACATTTGCTTGGTGGCTCTTGGATGTAGTGGGTGAGATTCAACTGGACTTAGCCTTCTTTGATTCTAGCACATATCCAGATGCTCAGCGCCGCTTGCTCTTTTGAGTCCTCTGCTGTCTTTGGATAGGTTTCCGAGCACAGTGTCAGTGTTATGCTTGTTCTTGGGGACTAGACCAACCTTAGATTCCACGTAAAGTCACTCGAGATCTCTGCGCTCCTCAGCTCTTTGGTTTCTGGAATGGCACATTTCCCCAGGATTGCCGAGTTAGAAGCTGAATTGGACCAGGCCTTGTGAGTCTGGCGCAGTCATCCAAGCATCCTTGTCATGTCAGTTTGCGCAAGTCGAGCTTTCTGTGTTGTGCAGCCGTGGCCAGACGAAGCGGGACTTGCGAGCTGCCAATCGCAAAGTTGAAGAGCAGGATCGTTGGATTTGTGCTTCCGTGTTTGAGATGCGTTGGGCTGGGCTCGGAATTCAGGAGCTGCTGCTTCAAGAGAAGGGCCGGAAGGATGCAGAAAAGGCCAAGCAATGTTCGCATCCCAGCTGTCGAACAGCTAGAGCTTCTGCTACGCGTTGCCTCAAAGTTGCAGAGTGACAGTGATCCGAGTGTCCGACCTCATGGAGAAACTTCGGAAGTCCGAAGAGGAGGCACAAACGGCAAGACTTGAAGCCTGGGCCGGAGCCAAGTCACCTCATGTCGTGATCAGGCCGACAATCTTGGAGTGACTTGCCTGCAGTTGGGTTTAGGCCACGGTTGCGTTAGTCTTGTAAGGAACGCCGAGATCGAGTTCTTAAGACTTCGTTTGGGCTGAGGGCAAGCTGTACAATGCCCAAGAGAAGATCAAGAAGCTCAAAGAAGAGATCCGGGACTGATGGGCACTTGGCGTCGGCCCTAACCCCAAACCCTAAACCCTACCCCCTGCGCCCCCTAGGCCTAAACTCGATCTGCAGGACCTGAAGAACAAGCTAGGAATCAAAGTGGAGGAAAGTGAGGGGGAGGAAGAGGAGGAAGCGGAGGATGCGCCGAGCTTCATGAGCCGCTATGCCATCCGAGTCCCAGCCTCAAGCTTCAAGGTTCTAGGTTTTGGGTTTTTGGACTTGGCATTTGGGGTTAAGGGTTTAGTGCGTCTTGTTCACGATTTAGTGACGAGACAGTCTCAGGCGAAAAACAGTGGAAAGCCGCGGTGGATGCTGCTGAGCGAGGACTTTGCTGGTAAGCTTTCGCGAGTCGCCGCTGTCCGGCTGATGCTGCTGCTGCTCCTCGTGAGTGCGTGCGTGCATGCGAGCGCACACGCGCGCACATGTGTGTGTGTGCGCGCGCACTGTATTAGGTCATGGGCTAAGGGAAGTCACTCTCCAACGTCATGTGCAATTGCTTGTTGCTTGCATTTTGCATAAGCAGCAGAGTGCGGCATGACTGTGAGACCGCACCTACCCAACGACGCTACCACAGTCATGGGATACCGAGTCTATTATCTGCAAGGTGATCTAGCGGGTTATCCTCGCTGTTGCTACCTTCACCAAACATTTTTTCCAGCAGCATCGCGTCAGTGCTTGCACATGGACATCCAGCTTGCCGAGGGTTTGCACATGCTTTCATGTACGGTTGCAGCAATCTGAGCCGCCTTTACAGACATGCAGCCAGGTACTTCGCAAAGCAAACCAACAACATGCGAGTAACTAAAACCAACCATGAGTGCGACCATCCTTTGAGACAGTGTGTGTGAGTGCGTGTGTGTAATATCTAATGTGTGAATGTCCGTGTGTGTGTGTGACCACTCCCGAATCGGCACCAGGGAGAACGAAAGTTGCGTTATGTCGTGCTATTGAAGCTCTTGCACGAAACTTGCAGGGGCCCGAGGGCTCATCATACAGCTCGGGCCAACGAAGCTCTGTATGATGTAGCCAGGACAACGTACCTGCAGACAAGTTCCTGGGTGCTATATGCGCAGCTGGATTGGTCAATTTTCGATTGCACGAGTGGTTCATATGAGTGATTGCAAGCCTGAGAGTTTGATCGCCACTTAGATTACAGCTTGTTGATAATTGATAGCGAAGTGCCGTGAAACCATCCCAGGACGACA